AAGAAGGTTCTTTAATCTATGATCACTTGGATTACATTTTTGGCGACTAAATTTACCGGTTTGAGCACAATAGTCTTACTTTCCCTTTGCTGACTTAGTTCAAAAAAGAAAAAATATATATATATTGCTGTGCTAAGACATATCTGAATTCTGTATTACATTTTACTGGTCTTAGACAAAGCTCTTTTTGATGTAACTAAGCTAGAACACATTACAATTTTGCATGTCAAACTGAAATACATGCCAAGACAGTGTTAGCTGCCTCCTATGCTGAAATTCTTAAAGACCATGATTCAGATGCAAAACAAAAAAATCTAGATGCATAATAATTAAACAATAGAATTCTTTCAAGTATAAAAAAAGGAAAAAGGTGAATATATCAGTACCAACAATGCCTGAAAAAGCATGATAAATGGTTATAAAACTAATGTTCATCATCACAAGAAAGTAACCATATCCTTTGTAACAATGAGGAACATCAATTGTAATATTAATCAAAATCAATAAAAAAAGCAAGCAGATATAAATATTCGTGAACTTCCTCATGTTTCAGTGGTATTGCAATGTCATTGTTTTCTGCGTACAGTTCTACAGATACTTTCATTTTTTTTCAAGAATGGTGACAGTGCCTTGGCAGATCAGCATATCTGTCTGCTCTCCACCTCTCAATCATAGGCTAGCAGTTCTTAACTCCCATGCAATGTAAGACAAGAAGACAAACTCATCACTGTTTATGTAATCCTCAATAAGAATGATGACTTGGGAAACAAAATATGATCCTTCTTTATCATTTTGTACTTTAATATATTTTGGTTTTGCAGTAGTGACATATATTATAAATAAAGAGAAAAAAAATGAACTGCCTAATTTCTTTTCTTTTTTTTGAACTTGTTTTTTAAAATAGTTTAATTAATGTTTATATTCTTTCTCACAAACAATACTAGTTGAACAAATAATGCCCAAGCTAGCAAGAGATTGTCAATTTTCTTACTCTCATGATGGTGCAGTGTCATACAGACCCATGCTACTATGCTAGCAATACACTGGCACAGTCTATAACTGTTTCTTTGATCTTCATTTACAGAAAGAGTATTCAAGAGATTTTTGGTCTTTACTTTTACCTCCAACATTCCCTCCCAAACATTACTTCTTATTCATAAGTTGACAGGGGGAATATTCTACAAGAAATGTGCTCTTTCCACAGCAACACACTGTAAACATTATACAAGGTGATCCTAAAATTATGTCATGCTGAATACCAGTGGAAGGGCTCAGAGGTGCTTCTCATATTAGCAAAATGGTCACACTAGAAAAACAGGTGTGACAAAGTATTTATGTTTATATTCATAATCTCAATAACAGAGAATATTTTCAACTATTACTGAAATTCATTATGGGCCATTTTTTTTTCTTTTTTTTTTTTTTTTTTTTTACTTTAAAGCATCCTGAATCCTGAATCTTCTATCTTGAAGTCATTCTGTTTTACATTACAATTCTTGAGTCTAACCACATAAATATCTTACGAGTTTAAGGAAAGAACTCAGCAAACTGTGGGCATCTGACTTAAGTTCAACATCGCACCTTTTAACATGTTACTAATATTGTGATAGCAATGATGAAAAATCCAACACTGACCTAATTAATGGATCACCCCAATGTGAGGGAACAATGTGATACAAATAATATGACATACACACACACACAGATACATTTACCACAACTGTCTATGAGCTAGAATACCAGTATCAATAGACAGTAACTAATGCCTCCTACAGATCTCAATGGCCTCTGCTGTCTACCTTTCAACAGAATTCCTGGAGGCCTGATTTCCAACATTCATGGATTGTATTCAGTTCTGCAAATTGGTTATTAACAAACAGACCAAGATTTACACCGTACATCAAGAGATATCATTAGTTTTCAGAGATGTCATGCTTAATTGTAATATAACATTTAACTTGTATATTCCATAAAAAAGAAAAGAAAAATGGTGTGGGGGGGGGGGGGAGGGAAAATATATAAATGGAAGTCCAAAAAGGGGTACTTTTAAAAACAGAATACACATAATTCACAAATATTTCAAAACGACTTCAGAAGATACAAGAATAATTTGAGGTGTATAGATTAATCTCAATGTTAAAACTATAAATGCAAAAAGCAGGGATGAATTCTGCTGTCTTGAGTACGGGCGACTGAGTAGGACGCCTCCCACTGCTCGCTCGCCACTCTTGGACCCCTCCCGACAATAGTGGGAAGTGATATGCTTGTTGCAAAATTCCTGGGACCTCATCATGTAAGGCATCAACGTCTGAATTCTCTCCACTCCTTCATCAAAGCCATACTCAAATGAACCTTATCACCAGCACTTCAGTTAATTTTTTTTTTTTTTTCCACATTCCTTAAGTCAACTCTAAAAAGTTCTACAAGTACTTATAAAAAACATGAATGTGTGACATCCTCAGCACTTCATCCTAAAAAGGGTACCAGAGGTTTCCAATATATAGAAGTTAATTCTGGCTTTCATAGCCAATCCATAATTACAAAAAAAAGAAAAAAAAAAAAAGGAAAGAAAAAAATAATAACAGAAAAATTCTCCTGTAGTGAATCCTCCTCCAACATTTTTTACTAGCTACTAGCAGATTTATTCACATGCCAGATTTGGTATATGAAACAGCTCTCAAAGTATTTAGGCTAATGCAGAATACAGAGAGTGAACTACTGCATAGATAAATGGAAAGGAGTAGTGGTAAAGGGCAGGGAATCTTTTGACAAGTGAAAAATTTATAAATTGCTAAGGATATACAAGTTAACCAATGTCTTAGAAATAATGGTTCATCAACAGCCTGTAAATTATATTGCCTGCTCCCAGAATTAATGGTTTTATGACCCAAGGCTACTAATCCACCAACTCCTTAAATTAATGGTCCACTCATGTCCTGTGAGAAATGGGTCACCCATTGATAGCCTCCCACTAACTTCCTAGGAATACAGGTTAACAGTCAACCAACACAATAATACAAACTAACGAATCCTAAGGAGTACGGAGAGCTTTCCACTAGCCGTTCAATCTGTGTGTAAAACAATTACAGCAAAACAAATTGTAGACCGCTACAAAAATAGTAATGCTACCATATGTGATACACAACTCTGAAATTCCATCACAAATACACTTTTTGATATAGAACTTCCCTATTGTGACATGCCCCCAAGACAAACAACATCAAAACATTTGCAAGAAATTTTTCCAACAGAAGAAAACCCAATTACTTAGCAGCATTCCAACAGGAAGAGAATCACTGCTTTTAAAGTAATGCTTCTTTTTTTTTTTTACCTTTTTTCTCTCTTTTTTTTTTTTTTTTTTTTTTCTTTGAACAGTAAACCACCAGCCACCAGGAGTTTGAATTTTAGCAATACAGAAACATGCCGAGCTGGTATAACTGAGGAGCAACCAAATATGTGTATTTGCTTGCGAACAATCAGTCATCTGCTTCCTAAGAGCAATGAATCTCTAGCCTGAAAGCCAGTATTGTCCAAATGAAACAAAGATTGAGTGAGGTGCCACAAGACTGAAATGCATCACTAGCATCATGGAAGCACCCTTCCTCAAGACCACACATTTTTCAGCCATCAACTGGTAAGTTCCCAGCAATCTTTCAATCATCAAAGAGCATTTCCTGTCACAAACGATAGAAAGAGGGCTCTCTGCAGGCACGCTTCCTAGACGAGACACTTTATCAGTTTTGCACATTTTGCCTTGCCTGATAACTCACTTAGAAGAGAGGCACTTCATCCAAGACATATTTCTTTCATCTACTTTTTAATTTTATTCATTTAATTATTTATTTTTATTTTATTTTATTTCACTTAGAAGAGAGGCACTTCATCCAAGACATATTTCTTTCATCTACTTTTTAATTTTATTCATTTAATTATTTATTTTTATTTTTATTTTATTTTTATTTTTTTTTTAGTGCTAGAAAATTTGTTTAGATCCTATCAGTTTTGCACATTTTGCCTGATAACTCACTTAGAAGAGAGGCACTTCATCCAAGACATATTTCTTTCATCTACTTTTTAATTTTATTCATTTAATTATTTATTTTTATTTTTTTTTTTTTTTCTTTGAACAGTAAACCACCAGCCACCAGGAGTTTGAATTTTAGCAATACAGAAACATGCCGAGCTGGTATAACTGAGGAGCAACCAAATATGTGTATTTGCTTGCGAACAATCAGTCATCTGCTTCCTAAGAGCAATGAATCTCTAGCCTGAAAGCCAGTATTGTCCAAATGAAACAAAGATTGAGTGAGGTGCCACAAGACTGAAATGCATCACTAGCATCATGGAAGCACCCTTCCTCAAGACCACACATTTTTCAGCCATCAACTGGTAAGTTCCCAGCAATCTTTCAATCATCAAAGAGCATTTCCTGTCACAAACGATAGAAAGAGGGCTCTCTGCAGGCACGCTTCCTAGACGAGACACTTTATCAGTTTTGCACATTTTGCCTGATAACTCACTTAGAAGAGAGGCACTTCATCCAAGACATATTTCTTTCATCTACTTTTTAATTTTATTCATTTAATTATTTATTTTTATTTTTTTTTTTTTTTCTTTGAACAGTAAACCACCAGCCACCAGGAGTTTGAATTTTAGCAATACAGAAACATGCCGAGCTGGTATAACTGAGGAGCAACCAAATATGTGTATTTGCTTGCGAACAATCAGTCATCTGCTTCCTAAGAGCAATGAATCTCTAGCCTGAAAGCCAGTATTGTCCAAATGAAACAAAGATTGAGTGAGGTGCCACAAGACTGAAATGCATCACTAGCATCATGGAAGCACCCTTCCTCAAGACCACACATTTTTCAGCCATCAACTGGTAAGTTCCCAGCAATCTTTCAATCATCAAAGAGCATTTCCTGTCACAAACGATAGAAAGAGGGCTCTCTGCAGGCACGCTTCCTAGACGAGACACTTTATCAGTTTTGCACATCCTGTGTTTTAAGTCTTATTCCTATATATTTTTTCCAACTGATTTTTATGATAAAGCACTTTATCACATACACTTATTCTGCAGACAGGTGGTCTCCCTTCTGGGACTATTGAACGATTCCTTGTAGTATTCCAAAGATGAATGCCACCAATCAGTAGGTCTCCTCTAGAATGTACCCCTCGTCTCTTGTAATAATGCTAAGCCATGTCTTTGTATTCAGTTCTGCTGCATAGCCTGTTCTGTTGCAAGCCTCTGCTTAAAGAGTACAGTTTCTTCAAAAATTAATTCCTTGAGCTTTTCCTTTGGCAGGTCATCAAGTTCCATCTCAAATTTAAATGGTTCTTCAGCAACAGGCTGAAAGAAAAAAATACACTCAGTCAATTGCACATAAGAAAAATTGCTACACAAGTAGTAATAATAATTTCAAGTTGTTGTTTATCCAGTATGAACAACAGCTGAAATGGGGAGGATTTTAACCATTTAATTTCAAATCCATCCCAATCATTTCACTCAAACTAGGACCTCAAAAGGGCAAGCTACAAAACACAAACCTCATCAGCTGGGTCATAATACTGCTCTAAGTATGGGTGTGCTAGAGCCTCCTCCACAGTGATGCGCTTGTGGGGGTTGAAGGTCAGCATTTTGTCCAACAAATCCAAGGCTTTTGGGTCAGCATTGGGATACAGCTTTGTCCATGGCACCTTTGGCTTGTTTGGTAGAGACTGGAGATAACTTCTAGCCTGAAAAGGATCAAAAATTAATTCCACTATGGAATTAAGAGCAAGAAAATGGATCCATTTATGATACAAGTAATATCTGTAGATGATCCCGAACCTACTCTCCAGAGTTAACTTTTTTTTTCAATAAAAATCTTATTTCATTCATCAACAGTCACAAATGGAGTAATTCCAACTAATATAAAAAATAATTCCTGTACTTCATACTTTCAACCCAATGTCGCCGGGATGGCAAAAATACATACCATATCTGATGTGTTTTTTCGTTTATTAATTTTCTTTAAAGACAGATGGCTTCACAAGTGCTTAATCACAAGGACCCAATTAGTACTAGTACAACCTATCTCACCCTTCATTTTGATTTTCAGACAGATTCTTTTCTAGAGTTTATTGCTACTGATATAATTAATAGCCTTATAATAATCATTACATCAATTATAATAACATTGACAATGACAGCATTACATAAAACTCTTTTCTTTCAAAAGCTGAAGGGAAGGGAAATCAGCTGATGCCATATAGGTGTACCAAATAGCTCCTTGGTGGCTGTGCACTCATGAAGCCATCTAAGTGCAAACAAAATTCCCAAAGGAAAACTATAGACAACTACAGTGCAGTTCTGTACTGTTCTATTCTGTACTTTTTTTATTATTTAATACTGCAAATGACAACCAGAACTTTACTTATCTAAAACTATTCTCATGCTTTTGACTGTATTTTACATCTTGCTACTTGGTAGAGCTCCCTGAAGTTGTACACTTATTTTCCCAATACATTCCTCCTTGTTCAATTTTTTTCCCCATTTCTATTAAATTTCCCTTCATATTTCCGTCACAATAAATAGAAAAGTACTTACAACTTACACAAGAATATATCAATATCTAAAATATAAAATGCACTAAAGTGATGATCTAATAAGTATACTGTATACTGCTGCAATGGAATCTGCACTGTGCAAACAATCTGAATTCTAAGTTACATCAATTCCTGTAGAAAAAGGGATGAATGAGAATCAAAACCTTTACCAGACAAGAGACGTATCTGAATGGTTTTGATGACATCTTCATTGCAAATATATGTGTCAGCAATATTACAAAACATGTATCTATTTAGCTATATCAAATAGGAGCTAAAGATTCATCAGCTGCTATCTTGGATAATGCACCATTTACATTCCCCTCTATTCCCATGTGTGCAACTTCTATCATATTTCCTTTCTGTTCATTCCATTTTTCATGGAACACTTCTGTGCACTTCTAGTCTGGTTAATATCCGACTTTATCCACAGGCACCACCAAAGTGTTGGGAGTTATGTGGTGATGGACATCAGCTCAATCAACAGTTGTTGATCCTGGTGCTGAAACCATATGCCCTTGCTCCTCTCCAAAAATAACCCATGTTGGGCTCTAGCAGTCGTTCAGTAGTTTCCTTATTCGTGTACATATACCATAGATTAGCTAACTCTGAATGACCCTCTACCCCCCCACCTCCCCCTCTCAAGGACGGTCACCTTAAATCACAACTTCTAGGGTCATAATTGCTTGCTTCCTCAGAGCATTGAGGATTTGTAGTCCCTAGTTTGTTAATATTGAAATCAATTAAAAAATAATTCATTCATAACAGCAGTACCTTAGAGGCTTCTTTCTGAACTCTAGAAAGAAAGCAGAAAGCATAATAGCAAGAGCAAAATCCACCCCTGCACCTCCATCAAGGTTCCTCATCTCCCGGACAATCAGCACAATAAAAAATGTCAGTACATCGAGTGAAAATATAAATAATTTAATACAAGACAAGAAGCTGCCCACAAATAACCCTGACAGCGCTGTTTACTCCAGTAGATGCAATAAATCTTACCAGAATGAAACAGGATATGGTTTTCAACAAGGATCCTTGAACATTGAGTCAACATCTATCACCATAGATCTTCCAATGCCAAGGTGATAGACTTGGATGAAGCTGGAGATCTACCCGAGTAGAAGCAAACAAAATCTATAAAGGATTGCATAAACCAGGGGGGGGTGGATGCTGCACACACAATAGAGGAGAAAATAAGTATAGCATTGGGCAGTTTCAAATTTTCCAAGGCCATCGTAATAGTTTTGCGGACAACAAGCAACAGGTCACAGATGTCACGTGAATCTTCAGCTCATGTTTGATTTATATAGGTTTTGAATCTTACTGATGCGTGTACTTCTGATAATGATATAACCAAAACTGGTCAAACAAGATATTCATTCTCATTCATACTGTTTTTCACATTTCTGTTAACAAGTATAAATCAACTCGTGAAAGACCGTAGATTTAATCCACTCACTGTGTTTACCTAACAGGTTTCTTTAATCTGAAAGGTTCTTTGTTATGCCTTTATGTTCCAGTGGTCTTTATTCACAAGTGTAAAAAAATAAAAGAGTTCTTGTCCAACTCTGAAAGGCTACAACTCCCATACAGATGCACAGCACACAACTCTTAACACAAAATTTCAGTCATCCATGATCCCTAAAGACCCAAGAGGGGGGGAGGGGAAAAAAATGTAAATCTATTCTAAACAATCCACTTCAAAGACACCTCAATTTTACCTTCTCATTGATGATACAATCCAGATCTTCTTGGCATGGAGAACCAAGGATACCCAGAATGTGGTTGAGCTGGTCCAGGTAATGCTTGCCCGGGAACAGTGGACGGTTGGATAACATTTCTGCTAGAATACATCCTACCGACCAGATGTCAATAGACTTTGTGTAGCCCTGTCAAGAAAGAGAGAGTGGTTATCAAATGTGTAACACAGAAAGTTAGCCAATGAACTCGTGCTAGATACCATTTTTTCTGAAATCAAATGGTTTGACCTATTGACAACTGGAATAATATAAGCATACACTTTCCACGGAGCCTGCATTCATACATATACTATTAAGTACAGGTCTGAAAAATATTCCTCTTGATTTTGGTGATACTTCATTCTATTAGCAAGCCAAATTTTGGATCATAGTGACAATAATAAAGATACTTAAAATCATATTAATCCTCTCATTTCTTTCCTTTTTCTTTAAATGAAACTATTCATTCTAGGATAGAATACTTCACATGAGGATATATCATCATATCTGGCCTACTTGAATTGGCCCTTCCCTGAACTGGCAGGAGGAAAAAAAAGAGAAAACAAAAAACTGCACGGAATCTCACAATGACTTCTGCTCTGCTCTCTGCCTCACCCTGACCATGACTACCCCCAAAATTCTTCCTATGCCTTTCTGCCACCCAAGTTATTGATTTTGAAGAAGACGACAAAGGAAAGAGAGAAGGAAAGAAAGAAGGAGAGAAGGAAAGAAAGAAGGAGAGAAGGAGAGAAAGAAGGAAGGAAAGAAAGAAGGAGAGAAGGAAAGAACGAAGGAGAGAAGGAAAGAACGAAGGAGAGAAGGAAAGAACGAAGGAGAGAAGGAAAGAACGAAGGAGAGAAGGAAAGAACGAAGGAGAGAAGGAAAGAACGAAGGAGAGAAGGAAAGAAAAGGAGAGAAGGAAAGAAAGAAGGAGAGAAGAAAGAAGGAAAGAAAGAAGGAGAGAAGGAAAGAAAGAAGAGAGAAGGAAAGAAAGAAGGAGAGAAGGAAAGAAAGAAGGAGAGAAGGAAAGAAAGAAGGAGAGAAGGAAAGAAAGAAGGAGAGAAGGAAAGAAAGAAGGAGAGAAGGAAAGAAAGAAGGAGAGAAGGAAAGAAAGGAGAGAAGGAAAGGAGAGAAAGAAGGAAAGAAGGAGAGAAGGAAAGAAAGAAGGAGAGAAGACAGAAGGAAAGAAGGCGAGAAGGAAAGAAAGAAGGAGAGAAGGAAAGGAGAGAAGGAAAGAAAGAAGGAGAGAAGGAAAGACAGAAGGAAAGAAGGCGAGAAGGAAAGAAAGAAGGAAAGAAGGCGAGAAGGAAAGAAAGAAGGAGAGAAGGAGAGAAGGAAAGAAAGAAGGAGAGAAGAAAAGAAAGAAGGAAAGAAGGAGAGAAGGAACGAAAGAAGGAAAGAAAGGAGAGAAGGAAAGAAAGAAGGAGAGAAGAAAAGAAAGATGGAGAAGAAAAGAAAGAAGGAAAGAAAAAAGGCGAGAAGGAGAGAAAGAAGGCGAAAAGGAAAGAAAGGAGAAGGAAAGAAAAAAGGCGAGAAGAAAAGAAAGGAGAGAAGGAAAGAAGGAAAGAAAGAAGGAAAGGAGAGAAGGAGAGAAGGAAAGAAAGAAAGAGAGAAGGAAAGAAAGAAGGAGAGAAGGAAAAAAAGAAGGAGAGAAGGAAAAAAAGAAGGAGAAAAGGAAAGAAAGAAGGAGAAAGGAAAGAAAGAAGGAAAGGAGAGAAGGAAAGAAAGGAGAGAAGGAAAGAAAGGAGAGAAGGAAAGAAAGGAGAGAAGAAAAGAAAGCAGAGAAGGAAAGAAAGAAGGCGAGAAGGAAAGAAAGAAGGCGAGAAGGAAAGAAAGAAGGCGAGAAGGAAAGAAAGGAGAGAAGAAAAGAAGGAAAGAAAGAAGGCGAGAAGGAAAGAAAGAAGGAGAGAAGAAAAGAAGTAAAGAAAGATGGCGAAAAGGAAAGAAAGAAGGAGAGAAGAAAAGAAGTAAAGAAAGATGGCGAAAAGGAAAGAAAGAAGGAGAGAAGGAAAGAAAGTCGGCGGCCAACCCTCTATCCACGACCCACCTGCTACCAACCCACTCTGCAGGCCTTGATGCCCACTCCTACCAAGCTGACATTTCTTGGATCTGTGCTCTGGCAAGAAAACACCTCTGACGAGAACTATGAACTCGTTGAAGAGAGAAAATGGTGACAACCCTGAGATGGACTTTGATATGTATTTATGTATTTACATGTATGTTCACATCATATGGCCGTATGATTGGATGTTTGTATGCATGTATGCATACAAACATCCAATCTTTTGTGTGTGTGTGTGTGTGTGTGTGTGTGTGTGTGTGTGTGTGTGTGTGTGTGTGTGTGTGTGTGTGTGTGTGTGTGTGTGTGTGTGTGTGCGCGCGCACACACGCGCGCATAAATGTAAATACATATGTCTCTATAATTACATATGTGTGTGTGTATGTATATATGTGTGTGTATATATATATATACATATACATATATATATATACATATACACATATACATATATATACATATATACATATATACATATATACATATATACATTATATATATTTCCCTCTTATAGTCATGAAAACGAACCTTCATTCTGGTTATCAGAAGATGCATTCAAGAAATTATTAGGCAATGTCCAGCATCTAGGACTTTTTGCCATGACAAAGTGGGATGTCATCTATCTTGATTGGGTTAAAAAACACTTCCTTCACATCATCTCTTATTTATACTCAAACATTAAAAAAAAAAAAACTTTTTAGCTAAATTTCCCACTAACAACTAACCTAACAACTAAATTAAAATTCAGTATCCCCTAAAAAATCAAGTTAGTTCCAATAATAATTATGCAAGATGCTCACATAAATCAAAATAATTTTAATTTCACATAAGCACTTATAATACGGACCTCCTCCTAAATACTCATTCATGAGCATCAAAACACAAAAAAATTCTTAATAGTTATTAATTTAAAACTAAATTCTCACAGTGTCACCACACTTCTCCTTATGTTCCTATTCTACAACTAATCATAACATGACAGGTTATACAAAGCTGCCATAGCATAATGAATGCCTATTGAAGTCACACCAAACTAAAAAAGATGAGGCTCCTTCATAATTTTATTAAAATTAAACAACTTCGGGAAATTTGTCTTTGCCATCATTCCCCTCAATTCCTCCAAGAAAAAGGAATTTTAACCCATTGCCGCCGGGGAAAATTAACAAAAAATGGGGAAAATGCAGTACTCATTTTTTATATTTTTGGGAAATGTCTCTGTCCATAGATGGCTCTGCTAGTCCTGATTTCACCTTTCCTTGAATTGGTGGGAAAAAACGTATTCTTACTAGTGCTATAAATATAGGTGGTGCTATTTTTAACAGCAAATTAGGATAACGTTAAATATTTTCGTAAGTCGATGAAAAGGGTGAACGGGCGAGACAGACAGTACTCGTAATTGGCTCATTGGTTACTTAGTACAAGTATAGCCATCTATGTGTAAAAACAATCGAACAAGTCGACTCGCAGTGGGCATGGCATGTACGTACATGCCATCCCTGGCAGCAATGGGTTAATCAGGGCTGTGGAGTCGGAATTGGAAGGCATTTGGTGTTGCTGGATTGGGAGTCGGTAAAAATGTTCCAATGCCGACTTCGACTTAAATCGCAAAAATTCCACTTTTTAAACATATCACACACTTTACTTCCACTGGAGATGATAAGAAATCATGTCATAATCATTTTGTCTTAGTCCAAAATATATCTTTTAAAGAACAATGACTTTTTTTCTTTTTTTCGAGAATATAAAATAGAGAGGTCACAGTAATGAAGAGGTAACCATTTGACTCAAACCTTTTAAGAACATTGGTTAACAGGTAGTCTGTTTATTGTTATGATGAGTCAGTCAGAAATCAAGGAATCAGGTGTTTGAGTACCAACTCCACAGTCCTATAATCTATACCTAATTCCAGTGGAGCTGGAATATTCTCAGAGTGCAGTGGCCATGCAGTCTGATAGTACAAAAGTTGGTAGCTTTGTTATTTGACATCGAGTGATGAAAATATAAACCACTTAATATGTGGAACTAATTTACAATGTTAACAAACACACTCATCTTCAAGGTCCATGTTTACTCAATATTTACAATAGTAGATCTACATTCACCAGCTACCTGTATGCACAACACCATGACTAAACTCTACTCTATTTTCATACATTATTTGTGTAGATATATCTTTCATTTAATATTCTTTTTAAAATAAAAACATAAATAATATATATATATATATATATATATATATATATATATATATATATATATATATATATATATATATATATATATATATAATTTCTCTCTTCTCAAATGCACAAATAATAATCCTACCTTAGAGTTCAGCATGATCTCAGGTGCACGGTACCAACGAGTTGCAACATACTCAGTCAGGAAACCTGTGTGGTCGTGCTCTGGATCAGCCACACGAGCCAAGCCAAAGTCACAGATCTGTGATTGAATGAGATTTAGTATCAGAAACGTAATTGTGATAATCAAAGTTTTACAAACCAGCTTAAGCAAACCATTATCACTGAACAGGCATGCACATAAACATCCTAAACCAACCAATATGGAAAATGAGACAAAAAGCATGGAAAAGTCTACCTTCAGGTCACATGTGGTATTTAGCAGCAAATTAGAAGGCTTCAGGTCACGGTGAAGAACATTTGCCGAGTGGATGTACTTCAACCCTCGAAGAATTTGATAAAGGAAGTAGCAAATGTGGTCATTACTCAGTTTCTGGAATCACAATAGCAAAATTAGATGATGTGGGCTCCCTACTAATCTCTTCCTGTAGTGGGGGAAATAAAGTAAATATAGAACAAGTAAATACACTGTAAAGCCTTGTAATGAAGTCACTGTCGGCTGCTTTATTCTTTAAAATATTTTTGCATTTAAAAAACAATATTTGGTCACCAGACTGCCTGTATGTTATTAATCATTAACAAAGAGCACTTCTGGCTACAAATACATTCATCATGATAAATACTACATCATAGCCAAACCAAGAAATCACACAATGCCTTATAAGCTGCACCCTTAGTCTCACCTGAGATTTAAGTAACTTGTACAAGTCAGTCTCCATAAGACACTGAACAATATAAACATCCTTCATTTGATCTATGCTCTGGGCTCGTATTATATCACGGATGTCTATTACCTGAAAGAGTAAAAACTTATAAACAAGAGAAAATTCTAGGAAACAGGAAATTACTAGATGCTATGAAGTTAGTACCAAGCAAAATATTTTCCAAATAACATCTAAATTATTAAAATTACAGCAAGGAGACTATTAGTTACAGCCATTATATTTTTGAAAATCTGTCTTTGAATAAGCTACACATGCAAGAATGAACTTATGTTATCATTAATAACTGACAAGTAAAAATCATCATCATCTAAACTGAAAATCCTTCAATTCTGTGACTAAACAATAGGTATGGAAATACATACAAATGTATTGTTTACACAAATGCAATTTTCTTACGAGAAAGTGGTAGAAGATGTACCTTACCCATACTTCCCAATTATAAGTACAGCTTCTCCACACATAAAACATTACTGACAATTACACTGAACATCTTATGCACATAAAATACAGCCTCACTATTATGACAGAAGTAGTCATATGAAGTCCTGTATTACCCTATGACTCTGTACGTATCTTGTTTCGATATTAGTCAGAAGTTTTCGCCATGAGCTAATCAGCAAGTGCTTTGAATTTTATCTTCCCCTTTTTCCTTCTCAGTATTCACTGGCATTAAAAATACCCAAACAAATATTTACAAGATGCTAAAAGCTATCTATCCGTGCTGGTAATCTCTGAGGGATATTATGGTATGGATAAGAGCAATCGCTTATCAACAAGACACACATCCAACAAAAAATTCTTCAGACAAAACAAGATTGCCCTAGGGTAAAATCAACTCTCCCTTGGTATAAAGCCCACCATGAATCCTGACCAACCTGCATATAGCAGACAAGCTACATAGGAAATCCCACTGAGGTGGCAATAATAACTACTTACTGTAATATTCCACTTGTGTGTCACCTTCCTAGGAACACGCCACATACCACTGTTTTTATGTTCCCTTACATCCCTTCATTTCTAGCTAAAAATTCATAACCAAGCTTAAACAGCACCAAGTATCTGGATTATAACTCTAAATAGGTGTGGAAAAATAATCTAACACAAGCACTGGTTTGTTTTAGATATACTTGTGTATATATATACATATGCATTTATGTATATATATACATATATACAAACAAACTGAGTCAATTCCTTCCCAGCTCAACTATTAATCAAGGTCATACAATTTGTCAAAATCAAACAAACAAAAAAAACAGATTCATCCTTCATTCTCACCCAATATTCAAACACAAACTCTCAAACACCTCTTTCATTCACCTGAAGAAAAGAAGGACGCACCAATAAACTGCAATACTCCTATATTCTGGATATGCTGTTATTCGTACTTACATTTTCATGCTTGAACCTTGTTAGAATTTTGATCTCCCGAAGTGTTCTCTGACAGTATGTCTGATGTTCAAAGGGGGATATCTTCTTGATTGCTACCTTAGTTTTGGTCACATTATCATTTGCAGAC